ATATTGGTATACAAAATTGCAAATATGATATTAATTTTAACCTTCAGTATTAGATGCTCATTATTTGGCCTTCCAAAGATTTAAGGTTAACTAATTATAAACAATATTGACCCGGAAGATGATTAGGTGAATGAATATCGACCATTCGTGAGATCCTGCTCTTTTCAACCAGTTTCGTTTGTTACGAAATTGATCTTCTTTATTCTTTTATGAATATTTAGTATAAATATTTGGTAAGTTTTTGTTAACTATGAGATCGTGACTAGGAAGTAGGATGCGGATCGTTCATCTATTGAATGTTACTACGATTAGCTTATTGTTAGTTTATTGTTTTGTCTACAAAAGTAGAGGAAGAACAAAAGTATGGATTGATTGTGTGACAGGAGATATCCATAAGGAGAATATGAATTCAGATACGACAGCTTATAAAGATATATGGAAAAGTGGTATACTATGTACTGCGTCGAATCTCTGAAAGGGGGCAGTCTGGTGATTGTTTACCCCTTTAGCAACTGTCCATCACTTAACATTTTAAAGAAATCAATTTCTTTTTTTAAATTGTTTAAATCTGTGGTTTCAATAAATATTTAGCAGAGTGTTTCATCATAACGCAATGAAACAAAGTATTTTAACAAAGTTATTACATTTCATAATTTGCCTTCCGCTTGTTAATTACTTGTTACTTTTTATAATTATGAGTGTTATGAAGCAACAATATTTTTATTGGTTGTATTATTAACGCTGATTAATATTGGAGATAAATTAAATGACTATTTCATCACCTTGTATAGCTTTAGATAAAATCACACTTTGTGTTACACAAAGTGCCATGGCTTTTTTTAGATTTTTTAATAAATTTATATTCCCTACTAGATAGGGATATATTCTCTTGATTTATCCTCAAACTTTTAAACCATTGTTTACATTCGTGATATCAACGGAATAGCTAAAACCAATCTTTTTTAAATTGTACATTTAGTTGCAGTTGCGATTTTAAATAAGTTCCTAGAGGTCACACATCGTTGATTCTATTCATATGTTATATTTCATGTATATTACAATTTTCTTGATTATTAATTTAGAATAATTTGTGTTTTCAGCATGGCACTACTGTGATATCGACGGTCGTCAGGCGTCCTTCCTCTGCCCCAACGGCACGGTGTTTTCTCAGGGTGTGTCTTCCTGCGACTGGTGGTTCAACGTCCGCTGTTCGCTGTCCCCTGCCTTGTACCCACTCAACGCGAGGCTGTACCGACGGAAGAGGAAACAGTCCCGTCCTAAACCTCATAGAATAATCGACAAAAAATTAGTCGATGAGATTTTCTTGTAAATATTTTTAATTAATTTAAGTTTTTATTGATATTGAACTATTCTGTTTTATGTAAAAAGTTCAATAATTTTTGTAAGCTTTTATGCTTGATAGAACTTAAAACTGATTATTCACAAAAGTTATTTGCTTCAGAACTCAGGAGTATTCCTAAAAATATACTTGTATTTTTACATATGTATTTAAATAATGAGTAGCGCATATTTTGAACTTTATATAACTAATATAACTTATTCTGTTTCCTATAAATTGAATACAATAAAATGTATTCGTGTTCACATATTTTATGTCGCTAAACATTTATAACATGTTTTATAATAGAAATAGGAATAACTGTAACTGAAACATTTTGTTAAGTTACTACAAGATAAACAATGTGATATATTTGTCTTTATATCAGTAATGTAAGTATACTAGTTTGTTTACTAATAGTTTTCTAGATTATAAGTATAGTCTTAATATTAGGTTTACGGTAAATTACATTTACACAATTACGTCTTTATACAAAATCTGAATAATACAAACAAGATTCATCACCAGCTCACTATATGTCCCCACAGATGGGCTCGGAGCCTACTCTAAGAGGGTGTGACCAGGCCTTAGTCAACCACGCTAGCCCACTGCGGATTGACGTCACACATATCTTTGAATTTCTTCGCCGATATATGCAGGTTGCATCACGATGTTTTCCTTTACTGTAAGAACGTCGGATAAATTATGTACATATGAAATTCGGAAAATCAAAACTCACATTGGTACACGGCGAGATTCGAACTCAAGACCTGTGGAATACAAGTCTAGTGCTCAAACCCCAGAGCCACCGATGTTCTTACAAACAAAATTATCTGCAATTATTTAAACTTAACAAATGTGATACTTGAAGTTATTGTTAATATTCGTGGAAATAAAAACGTGACAAGAATGAATTCTGTGTCAATTATTCTATTAAGTACAGTAGTTATTTGTTAAGCCAAGATGATAGTTAAGTTTCGTAGTATTAAAAAGAAACATATCGTACGTATGCGTTTCCTTTAGCTGCAAAGCAAATATGATTAGCCCTAATTTCCCTTCTCCCACCTTTCGCCCAGTTTTAGCAAGTTTTATACTACTTTTACGAGGGAAAAAAGTGAATGATGACTGATATGACGGATGATAGAGTTATTTGGAGGAAGAAAACCAGGTGCGCCGATCCTACGGGAGTAGGGTAAGGCGGGGGAGAACATACATACAGGGCATAACATACAGACGACTTGAGTACCACCTTCTTTTGTAAAGACGGTCAAAAATTTAGTTTTAGGTGAAATTAAATTTCCAGTAGTAACTGATTCTGAAGAGTACTTCAGTAACCATTAACCCTAAATATCGCTATTATATGTACATTTTACTTTATAAAACGCCTGGTTAAAAATTAATAACAAGACTTTATAAATATTTGCAAATAGTAAAAACGATTTTCATCTTATAAATCTTCTTACATCCAAACTTAGCAAGTATGGATAGTAAATAAATATTTCCGGTCAAGGAACTTGGTCACAGTCTACCGTTTAACCCGTCATTTCAGGACACCGCGATATTTATGGAGGAAATAAAGATTATTATGAAATGTTCAAGCAACCACGTGGTTATTTCGCTAATTATAAAATAGCTATAAACGCACAATGTAATTACGTGTCATATTTATTCACAAACTACAACCATTACAATAGCCATTTGTCTACTGTTTGCTAATTGTGAGAAAAGAGTCTTATATGGTTGTTTTTATTCTCATCCTTTTGTGCGTGTATGGAATACTGATACCACACATTAAGCTTTAAAATCAGGATATATATACTAATATTATAAAGTGGAAATATTTGTATTTTTGTAGTTTTGTATGTATTGAAATAACACAAAAACTACTGGGACTATTTCAAAAATACAACTTTAAAAAGCTACTTTATCAGTGAATAACATGACATATGATTTTTATTAATTTTTAAATTGACGTGGGCGAAGTCACGTGCAACAGCTAGTATTTACTATTTAAGAACTACCTTAAAGTAACATATTGCGAAGATGTATGAATTTAAAATTAATTTAAAAGCCGCGACGCCAAAAAGTTGCAACTGTAGCATGGACTATTTTTTTTTTTTATAAATTTCTCTTACATCCTTTAATGAAATGATTACAATGACTTTAATGCATTCTATTATTCGTTATATGAGGATTATTGTTTTTAATTTTTGGAAAATGATTACTACTTCTCGGTGCGTCAGAATACAAGGTCTGGCTTCAAATGTAGCTGGCTGTATGCAATTCACAATTCGTTTACACCGCGAAGCGCGCCGCACGTATGCGCGAGTTCAACGTCTATTTGTGTTTTACGTAAATAATTATTTTTGCGTGTATACTTTGGATTTTATTAATTTAAATATGGAGTACACATTTTGGCCTCGGATGTTTATATTATGTGGTAAGCGCATGGAATTATTGTATAATTTAATTTGTTATTTTCGCGGAAAAGAAATGATTATTTATTTTGTATTATTTACTTTCCGTCTTTACTTAATACATGTTTTTATTCATTTTATATGCCTGCGTTATATAATATAGTTACTATTTATAATGATACTTTTTTGTTCAAACGAAGTTCTCTCAATTTTATTAACATATTTGCTAAATAAAACAGGCTTTGTCAATACAGGCAAATATTTTTTTCTTGTAATAAACAGTGACTCAATGCCAATGTCCCCATCAGTTAAAGCCACCGATGTAATTACTATGTACTGCAAGTAGTTGTATTCATACGACAATAATTGCTGTAGTGCGATTTTTTAACACTGCCTTGAAAACATTTTCTATTTTCTTGTGTAGCACTTTTATTGCCGACAGTACTCTCGTTGTATTTCAGGGTTACCTATTATGTCACTACATTTTTATTATTCTTTGATAATAATAGAAAAATGAAACATAAGTTAAAACATACACGTTAAAAATACGTCAAAAACTCTAATTAGATTTGATATATTAAGTTACTTTATTTTTTCTAAATCAGCAGGCATTTACACATTATTTTTAATAATCATAACAATTGTTCCTATTAAATTTGCGGTGAAGCGTGTCTTATGTTAACTAAAAAAGAAAAAAATAACTTTGATTGACATGTTACAGGATTTTACATTGGTATTAACGATTAATCTAGTATTAACACCTAATTGGCTGTTATTAGTTGAAGGATATTAATAAACGTAGTCAATTATATATTTAATATCTATAATGTGAAAGTCGAAGATTGATTGGTGTCGAATAGTTAAATGTAACTTAATTAATTCTTCAAAGTCTTGTAGAAAACTTCATTTTTGTTCATTCAATTATTTTTCCAAGGTTTTAAAACCACAGATTATACACTTGGATCTAAAATTATGCTGTCACAAATCAATTATGCAAATGTACTAGTCAATATACGAACGTAACACAAGTTTGTTAAACTTTAAGACTTATGGAAGGTTTCCCAAGTACTGTTAACCATTCCTTAGTGTTTTTGGTTCGATAATTCCATGAAATACGATTCCGAAGTATGTAACGTGAGTCTTACTCCGTTGAATTTTAGTTTAATCTAACACTGATAAACCATTAGGTAATAATAAAATAAAATGGACCCTTCAGAAACCTACTATTAAAAACATAGCGTAAACATACGTTAGAAACGGTGTCAGAAATCATTGTTACGAGTAGTCTCACACTTGAACTTGTCCTCGTAGTAAACTGGTAATTTTTGTCACGTTTCACCTTTAGGGTCTCGAAATGTTCGTAAACCACAACGTATTTGACGAAAAATTATCATTAAGTAACGTTCACATATTGCCAAAAATTTTACAATCCTCAATAAGACCCTGTTTAGAAGGTATACTTAACCTTAAATATATATTTAAATATGTCTTCATTTACTTATCTTTAAATTTAAATACAATAATACACATATGTAAGGTTGCCCAGAAGTGACTTTTATGTTTTCCTCAGTTAAAATTACGCGAAGTAAAAGTGAACAGCGAAATTTTACAAACATCGTATTTACGTAAACTTCAATGGCCCATGAATAAACTAATCATGTATAATTCCTGTTTAATCCGGCGTAAGGAGCATCAATTAAATCTATGTTCTTACACGTAGTAGTTGTGACGTAATTGCGGATGCGTAACAATATGATAATGTGGATAAGTGAAGTGCAGTCAGGGGCATAACAAGATTAATAAATAACAATTACCGGTTAATGTTAATTTATATTTATTACAATCAATAGCCATACATCATTAGGAATACTAAATGCGATACAAATAGAATACAAAATTTATACTCGAAAACATATTCGCACGTACGAGTAGATGTCAAGGTACCAACGCAAAAGAGTGCCTTGTACTTGATTATGTTAATCCATATCAAATCTTGTCACAATTTTAAGACAAGGTGACAAATAATTGACATCTAAACCTACATTTAAGACAAGTAAGAGATAAGTTTCACTTGGGACATTGAAACAGGGTCATTGACTTTTGAAAAGTCTCGGTTGTTTCATCTATCGGTAGAATTTATTTCTGGTTTACAATAAACGAGAAATAATTACCATCGTAGATATTGATTCGTTAATACTTACTACCCACAAACAGAACCAAATCATAATTAGCCTTCAAAAAAAGAGAAAAGATTTGAGGATGTCGTATCCGTTTGGGAATACCGTTGCCGTCACTTGTGTACATTTTTGGATAACGGATAGCCATTGGATCCCAATCTTGTCTATCCTTACATGTTTTACTGGATGTTAAATAAAATAAATGGTTTACTTGTATGATATTTAACACAACCTTTACCTTTTTGCATTAGCGTCCTTCACGTAACAAACACGCAAAATACACCAATAGACGTAATCGTTGGGTGACGAGTGACATAGACACAAAATTATAAAGTCGGAACCTAATGTTCGCGGAAGCGTCGCTTTCTCCTCGCGGGTCCACGACCCTGTCGACCTTCGGGTGACCGACGCTTTGCCAATTGTGGTTTAAACGATCGTGTTCGAACCTGACCCTAGGGAAAATCGATTTCGAAAAGTGAGAATTTTAACTTATGTAAATAAGATTTACGTCTTATATGAGTAGAGAACATTAAGTTTAGGTCTAAAATAGAGCCTAGTAAATTGGCCATTTCATTCAGACTTCACTCGTCAGTGAGCACTATTAATTAAATTTTAAGAGCTCAATTTATTGATGTCCTTTAAATACAGACAGACGCGGAGAAAGGACATTATTTTGTAATGAAACTATGATTACGTTAAGCGTTTCGAAAATATCCAGGAAGAATATACTCGTATAAACCAAGATACCCCGTGATCTGATGTTATTTACAATTAATTCTCGATTTGTGTTCAACGTCTGCATCGTGTCGCAAACTTCTTACAGTATCATCTGCGTTTCGGTTCGCGGCAAATGATCATTTCGCGCGTGTCAATTAGTTTCCGTGTTTCATTCTCGTGTTAATCGTCATGACTGACGTAAGGGTCGTAAACAGAGCTTGAATGACGTCACAGTTTTTTGTACTTAATTTAACAATCGATTTGTTACCCAAGATATGTGATTTGATCAGACTTACTACAATAACTACTCTATATAAATTGAATGCTAAACTATTTAAAATTTTGACAACAAAATACTTTAATTTCGTGCAAAGAATAAAAGTAGTTCGTCCATTTTATTGTCGATGCAAAAAATTATTAGAAAAACGAAATCACTTTAATCGAATAATATTGGATGGAGTAACAATCTCATACTTTGGTACTTATTACTCAAAGTTAGAAGGGACAGTTAGATTTACTAGCCCCGCTGTAAGCGCTAAAGGGGCATTGCACAGAGTTACAACATATGGCTGCGTAGTTCATTATTATTTACATAGATTAAAGTCCGCCGAGTCACTTTTTTAGAACATGTTACAAGGATCTTGTGGAAGGTTCGCGTTTCAGTAACGTTTTTAATTTGGTAGCATGTTTTCCTCTTTTGGATGGAAACTGTTGGGCAAAAAATTTCTAACGCATAAGGAATGTCTTTTTAATATTAATCATGTAACGAATTTTAAAATGGCTATGGAGGTAATGGGTGCTATAACATAGTAGGAATATTATACGACCGATCTGGCTCATAGATGGAGAAATATTATGAAGCCTTTTAGAAAATCACAGGTCAAGTTACAAAAAAAATGTCTTGGTGAAAACAATTGATTTAAAATTTTATTAGCTTCCAACCAATAACTTTATAACAATAAAATAAGTAAGTAACTAAATTTAAAACTAGGTTTCGCACGCGACTCCTTCCGCATTGTATTAAAAAAAAAAACAAAAGTAAGTAGCCTATGTGTTCTTCCAAACTATCCTTTACATCTGTGCTAAATTTTATCGAGATCCCTTCAGCCATTTAGGCTACATCCATCTAAACTTTCGTATTTATAGTATTAGTAAGTAGTAAGATACCTAAAGTAAATACAGATATTGATGCAACTTTGATACGAAAACATATATATTAGGAGAGGGGAAAACTCATTTGCTGATAATTGCACCGTAATTAATTAATTTGCCTATTTACAGTTACATAAATAGCTGGCAACTTAGAACTGCCATATGTTAGCAAGGACATTAACGCAATATACATGTAATATCCTATAAGTACTTCGACGTAGTAACTACGTAATGTAGTCTCATTAGTATATGTAAATGGTTAAAATAATATTATAAACAAGTTTAAATGAAAACCACAATTGAAAGGTAGGTCATTTTTTTATTCAGGAACTGACCATTCACCTTATTTACGTATTATTTCAAGTTCATTTATATTATGTTTGGTCAAATAATAAAATTAACTACATTTATAAAATAAAGTAGCTTTAGTCCGCGACTCCGTTTTCGTGAATTTAAAAAACAAAAAAGTTAGTAGTCTATGTGTTCTTCCGGACTATCCTCTACATCTATACCAAATTTCATCTAAATTTGCTCAGCCGTTTAGGCTACAAACTCTAACAAACATCTATCCATCTAAACTTTTGCATTTATAATATTAGTATAATATTCTTTACACATTAAAATTTCGTACTGTAAAAGAGAAATAGATTATTGATGAAGAGATGATAATAAAAAAAACATAAAATCCGATATTCAGACCAGTATCGTGTATGAATATGAAATTAATAGTAAAACATTCAACGATAATTAGACATGCATGATGGACTTGCAATTAAGTGACATCAGTAATGTATGTAAATAAGTCTTCATGTGGTATACCACATACTGTCGTTATCGACTCTCACTGGCAGGTTGAATATCGTATTGCATTGGACACAAAGTGAAAAGTGAATATAACTCTTACGCTATATAATAGTACGCTCTTCGGATTTATTATTGTTGCTATAAATATAAAATTTTAATTTTGGTGGTGCAAA